TCTCTGTACTCCGTCCACCAACGTGGTGATTCACGAAGGCCGTAGATGGCCTTTCCCACCTCCCAGACTTCCGTTTCTTGAACCAAGCCTAGGGACCGGAGTATGGCCGGGGGCCGTAGGAGGTACCGGCGAGAAGTGCCCAGCGAGGCCAGGAGGAAGGCTGTGTGCACGTCAGTGCCGTAGGCCTTCCATTTCTCCCTTCCTGCGAGGAGGAGAGACGCTCGCAGGATATCACCTGCCACGCCTGCTGCGTAAAGATCGGCCGTATCGGTGTAAGCCGACTCATTGCCGCAGGCCACCAATCGTGCCTTCCGTCGGAAGGGCTGGCGGGGCCTTCCGTCGCTGTGGTGTTTGCCTGGCTTGACGGTGTAGACCCCTTTAGCATGGAGAAGAGTACTCCGCGGATCCCTCTGCAACTCAGAAGCCTCCTTCCCTGTCACCTTCCGAATCGCCCCCTTTGAGAGAAGGGACTCAATCTCATCCGACAAGGCGGTCCTCCACTCCTCTGCATGCAACCTAGCCTCGGCAGGCGAAACCGTGTACGTGGTTTCCAANNGGGTTCTCCCCCAAGGCCTTGAGCTTGGCCTCGACATCTGGAGTGAACACCTCGACCTTGTGCAACTCAGGAGGAGGCCTATTAACGCATGTCCTGCCGGGTGTGTGCTCACACAGCTTAGGGAGGAGAAGCGATGAGGGGATCAGGAAGGCCGGGTCTATCTGGGCAACTGGCAGCATCGGGAAACCTGGGCTTGGCACAGTCACCGAATCCGAAGTTTCAGAACTTTCGGGGGAACTCGGGTTCTCGGCGTTGGCATGGGCTCTCAAGGCCCGGGCTGCGGGGCCCCCATCCGAACTGGAAGCTTGATGAACCCCTGTATCGCCCCCACCAGGTGGGCTCGAGTTTAGGGCTTCCAAACGCATTTGAAGCTCCGACAGGGTCGGTTCAGCTGCTTGATAGAGGAGAGCTTGGGAAGGGAGGTACCATTCGGACAGCTCTCCCTCATAGCACGCTCGGTGTCTGTGGTCGGCATAATTGAAAACATTGGAGTAGCGCTCGAGGTCCGCTACGGAGGGCTCGTCGTCGGTAGGGTCGACATGGCAGGACACCATGAAGAACTGATCGCCCAGGTAGGCTCCTCTGCTATCTACATCTTCAACCGTGCGCCTAAACCTGAAACCCATCCGGTAATCCCGGACTCCGAACTCAGCTCCATTCAGCTCAAGGACTTGCCCAATTAGGGACCTTGTCCCCTCGTATCCCTGAGGCTCATCGGTGGGCCTGAGGAAGTCCAGACATTCCCTCATTACCACATCCCCGTTATGGATTCCACGTTGAAGGACACCGCTCACGACCGCTGCGACTGTGACCCTTTCATGAGTCTCAGACTCAGTAAACATGGTCTGGCAGTTGGCTTCCAAGATAGCGCCGCCTCGATAGGGCCCGTATCCTTCAACAGCTGCACTCCATCGCTCCCTCCGGTCAGGGCCCTCGGGGTGTCGGTAGTATTCCCTGAAGCGATCCTCGGGAACTAAAGCAAACTCAAACCGTCCCCTCCAAGTCCTAGGGATTGGGATCGGGGGATTGGCCTCAACCTTGCACAGCTGAATGGGGTATCCCTGCTTGGCCGGATCCACCTTGGCGGAGGAGGGATCCCTTGGTGGAGGGAGCACAAAG